TGTTGCCGCTGTTTATTTTCTTGAATATGGCTGTAAACTCTTTTTGCAAAAACAATGGTATGTCCTTTAGGCATAACTGTGAAGATTACTTTAAAAACCTTATGATACAATCAGACTTCCCTCTTAGCTTTCCAAACATATCATCTTATTTTGAAGTGATAGTTAAAAGCATCCTTAAAGTGTTTCATCTACCTTGCCTGGCATTACCCCCAGAAAGCTCCCTTTACAATGGTTTATTGGGAATATAGTCACCACTTATTCTTCACAGATTTGAGTGAGAGTTGATGTCTTGCTATTTGGTAAACAGGATACACAGGTTCAAAAAAGTGGAACTGCTCAAGAATTCAGACATGGTCCCTGTTGCAGGTTTATATTTCACAGTGACAGAAGTTCAAATGACTTCTTTAGAAACTTTAAATTTGTTCTGGCACCAAATCCTGCTTTCCAGGGAATTAAAAATTTGATGAATTCCTTGACTTCATTAATACATCCAATCTTGCCACTGTGGATTCTTTACAGTGAAAATCTATTCAATCCACTGGCTCAGTAGTTGCAAATACCAACAGCATAGACCACTTTGGTAAAGTCAGAGAACACAGCATAGAAAGCCTAATTTTTGTGTGTGTGTAATTTCTGTATCTAAAATGTTCATATAATGTTGACATATAATGCTGTTTAAAGGTATAAGAATAAAGTCAGAAAGACGAAAGGCTAAAAAAGAGATGAGACTTGTAAAATGCTAAGATAAACATATCCTTAAAGCTAAGCTTAGAACAATAAGAAGTTGAAAGAATAGATTCATCTGCTGCTTATGGTACAATCGTAACAGATTAATAACAGAGAGCTGTTCTACTCTAGTATTCTTTTATCTTCTCTCATAACAGGGTCAGAGGCAAAAACAATATATGTTTTTTCATGCTTCATGTTAAGTTTGGGATTTTAGGTTAAAATTATTAACTGAATAAAGAATAAAAGAGCTACAATGAAGCACTACTACATATAAAGAAAAATGAAAGATTTTTACTTGAAAGCAAAGACAGAATGAGCAGAAAATGCAATGGCTGCCAGTAAAGCTAATGTAACTTTAATGAGAGAGTCCTATCAAGATACAGGGAGGTAATGTGGCACTCTGTGTCACACTTGCCAGGCCCTATCTGGAATATTGCGTTGTTTGTTCTGCAAACACAATGTAAGAAGAATGTGAACAATGATGGGTGTATTGTGATAAGAGAGATATGATTGTAAAAGGTCTGGAAAATATCACGAGAATCTATGAAATAAACTAGAGGCATTTGGTCTGGAAGAAGAATGACTCAGGAACGGTGCTGTGAGGAGCATGTTAAGTGCCCTTCTGATTTGTATAGCTGGCATGCGGCACAGGAATTAGCCCCAGAGTACAGAACTAATGCATTTACATGTAAGAAAATATTTATACATTTTTTAAAATTAATTATTTTCTTGTGAAATGGTGAGATTTGTAGAACTGGAAAGTGTTCTAATGATAGTTAGCTTTTACTTGTGGAGGAATTTATAAATACCTGAACTGAACTGGGTCACTGGAGTATAGAATATCACAAAATCCAGAAGATTTTTTGACTTCTATCTATGAGTTTAGGCTGGCATGATGAACATATAGTTATTCAGAAGATGTGGGCTAAAGTACTCTGGAAATGCTTTCCTGCTTCCCTCCCCTCAGACAGAAACCCTCATTACAACAAAACTATCCCATTAGGTCCTTAGTGTGTTAGGCCTTGCAAACTTTCCGAGTATTCAAAGAGACTGTTACTAAAATGCAAATGTACCCTGAGGAACCAGTGACATATGGGGATTTTGTCAACAATAGCTTGTTGACAAAAAGACAGGAATGAGAAAGTTTACAAGATTAAATAAGGTCCAAGTGGACACAAATCCCTAGAAAACAAAATTATTGTAGGAAAAGAAACAACAATATTTCTTTGTGGTTCTCCTGGAGATTCAATAGATGACTGAGGCTTCAACAGCTACTTCTAGGAAGACATGGCCCAATGTTCCAAGGTGTCTATTTCACTGCAGATTTTAATGGGTACAGATTCTGAAAGGGACAGCTAATGCGAAGCATTTAGTGTTTATTAATGTAAAGAGTTTCTGTATAACAGGGGCATATAGACGCTTAGACAAATCACTAATTTTTAGAAGACTCAACTTATGTTTTTTCCCCAAAACCAAACTTGACTTTCATGTACACTGTAACTTTGTATCACTAAACAAAATTAACTTTTGGGTGGATTCTACTATGTAGTTATATGTTTTCATTTAATAATATTTATTAAAGTTACATAGATTTCAGAAAGGAGATCAATGCAGCTTAGTACCAAGATTTTTTTTCTAAACATCATTATGGATATTCCTTTGTCAATGATCCTAAATTAAACTCATATTTTCTATTCCCCTGTTTATTCCTCTGTGCTTTGTCATACTCAGTAATAATAACATACTATTCTTCCTGCTGTTTAAAGTAAAACCTTGTATTTTCTCTTTTACACCCCATCTATAAGTAATTGCCGAGTTCTTCATTACAAGAAAGAGTTTCACATACCTCTTTCTATTCTATTGTCATTACTTTAGTTCATGCACTAATTATCTTTTATGTGTACTGTAATTTCTCATAATTAATATCTGTATTTCCAATCTGTCTCCTCAAGAAAACTCTCCTATATCCTGGGTACATGAGACTTTTCCTAAAGTATACATTCTTACCAAGTGGCTCCCTAACTCAAAACCTTTAGTGACTCACTATAAAACTACCAGAACTATACTAAGCTAATTAATACAGCATTGAAATCCTCTATTATGTCATCTTGATCTATCTTTTCAGCCTACTTATTAGTATTTGTTTTTATGGTCATATTTCTCCAATTAATCTATTGTGTTGTTCATTATCTAAGGATATCTATGCTTTTCTACAGCTGAAATGGCCTTCTTCAAATTTTTCTACTATAATTTTATCCATTTCTCAAGGTCCAGGCTTAAAAACCTTTACCTCAGTCAATTTCTCCCTCTTTCTCACTCTTGCTCTCCCCCTCTCTCCCTCCCCAAACCAGGCTTAAATCACCAATCAACCAATCAATTTCTTTCTTTTTTTTTTTTTTTCCTTGTCTTTTGGTCTCCCTGGGAAGATTCCTGCTCCCTTCCCATTTATTGCATTAGGTCTACAAAATCATTGGGTTTTATACATGTCTTCTCCACCACTTAAGGGTCAAGAACAGTGCTTATAAAAGACTGCAGTAGATTCCAAGACTTCTGTAAATGTATTTTGGTTTGATTATATTTTGATAATAACTTGATTGTATTACATTATTAGGTATAAAAGAATTTAGTCTAGGGGATGTTATCTTAGCAGTTTGGAGTTGATAAGGGTCACCTATGAGTTGCTACAGGTCTAGTATTTGTTTTCATTCTTCACGGAAATGATGAGGGTGAGAACATTTGCTTCCTTTAACAGTACAGCTTTTTTTTAATGCAGATAATGTTATCACATTGATTTTCTTTTTCTGCCTCTTTGTACAAACGCAGTACAAAAGAAAATTTGCTAAAGCAAATCCATTCTTGAAAAAGACACAAAAATAATACCTATTTGCCTTCTGTTGTGTTGAAGGTGACATTTGGAAACATGGCTGTTGCCCTGCAATTGTAACAGGTGCCAGGCTTTGGACTTTGCTGACGCTATGAATGTTTGAAAAGAGAAAGACAGAATAAATCAGGGAACTCAATGATATGGTCATCATGGTGCAGTTACACTACCTCAGGACTTTTATTATACGGAAAATACATCTTCTTTACTGTTCGAACCACTTGAACAGGGGGTTTATCTTATAGCGACAGAGACCCTGACACACAGGGCTTCATGTCGGTGTCAGGCACTTGCTCAGGTGGAAGACTGTGATCATCTTTAGGACCCTAGAGGAGAAGAACATTATTTTTACTGCCTTCTTAAAAATTTGTGCTGTTCGTTTCTAGGTCTTGAATTTTTTGTGTGTGGATTTGGTGAGTTATAATCTCTTAAAATACACGGTACTTTTTTTTTTTGTAACAGTTTTCAACTTACAATTACTAAGTTTTCTTCTTCATTAATTTAAATGCTCCATGAAACACTGGCCAAGTGGCTCAGTTGGTTGGAGGATCATCCCATACACCAAAACATTGCAGGTTTGATCCCCATACAGGGCATGTATGGGAAACAACCAATTGATGTTTCTCTCTCATATCGATGTTGCTGTCTCGCCTTTCCACTCTCTCTAAAAATCAATAAAGATAGCCCTGAGTGAGGATTAAAACTATATCTTATATTATATTTATATTTACATATATTTTATTTATATCTTTACCTCTATCCATATAAAAACTCCATGAGGGCAGTGGCTGTATTTGTCAAGACCATTCCTGTATTTACAGCACCTAGCCTATGGCTGGAAGGCAGGTGCTCAGGAAGTACCTGAAATGAATGAATGAGTAACCGAATATATAGAAGATATAAAAAACATTCTCCTTGCTTTTACCTTTCCTCACACTTCCATGTCCTGATTCTTTACCAAGTCAAACCTAGGAAAGTGACCTATGTCCTGAAGTATAGAAGAAAGGAAAGTGAAAGAGGAAGGACGCTCTCTTTACTACCACTGCCTGCTCTCTCACTCAGTGGCGAAGGGGAAAAAACACAATCCTTAGAGGCAACTTACAAAATACTTCCATAAAGAAAAACTATAATCATTTCCTGTTTTTGTATGTTGGATCAAAATATTTTTTTAAATGTCTAGAATCACACTTTTAAGAGCCAGAATGAAATGTATCCTAATTCAGTATTACTGAGCTGAGCAAAGATTTAGCAATCAACTATTTCAAATCCTTCATTTCTCAGGCAAGGAAGCTGAGAGCTATGGACAACAAGATCAGCGTTAGTCTTCCTTATTGCTAGGATTTAAAAAAAATGAATACAGATAGTTATATTGGCTGGCAACAAAAAGGATATTTTCCTGGCACTTTCGTTCCAACCCGGTAATCAGTGTAGCTTTTGTTTGGATGAAAGTTGAAAATAAAAAGAAGACCTGCTCTCTCAAATGCGATGACCTTATTGGCTTCATGCTTCTCACTCACATAGGCCTGCAAAAATTCACACATATATTACATTTAAATAACATCTAGATGCTGACACAAGTAAATTATTTATAAAATAAGTTGTTTTTGTCTTTATTAATAGCTTTGTTAATTAAGCCAAAAATGAGACTATCAGCACATTGTATTTTTTGACCATGTTGTAATTTTCCCATATTAAACTCTAAGCCAATGACAGACTCAAAAACTAAAGACCATGAACTGTATAAAGAGCATAAAAATCTTATCACCCATTGCCAACTTCAAACAAAGCACGGATGATTAGTGTTGTGGCTTAGGTTTTAAGTAAGAACAGAGAATATATGGTATATACAAAGTGTTCATGTGTGTATGTATATATATATGATCTACTTATAAGTGAATTTTCTTTAAGACCTTTGTTTTAGTTCTAGATTAATGAGGTGAGGTACATAAATTGCTTTTCAAAATATAATGTGACATTATTATTATTCTTACGTTTCTGCAGTTGCAGTTACCTTAAAACCTTTGCATTATTGTATAACTTTGTCAGATTCAATGGCAATATAAAGTCCTTTCCCATATACAAGTGTGTGTGTGTGCGCGCGCGCGCGCACACGCGTGTGTAACTGAATAAAAGGAAGGGTCTGAAAAAAATTACAATAGCTACACACTTTCTTATTTTATATATCATGTTTTACAGTAGGCAGTTAGAAGCCCCTGCTTTTCAACCCCATTCTCTTTCCAGATTTGCAAGGACTTATTTCCATGCATATCAGCAGCACTGCTCTTGGTAATTTAGAAGTGGGAACTAAGGCTCTACTAGTAAACAGCATGCCTTTTGGTATTCAGCATTGTTGCTACTGAAAAGAAGCATCATTTTGCTCTCTCTTCTGGAAATAGCATTACTAATAAATTTGAGTAGGACATTCATGTCATGTAGCCAATCTTACTGAATATATAAGGACCTTTGTTCAACCATTAAAAAATCATAGACACCAAAGTAAAAACACATCAACAGTAATTTCAAACAGTACCAGTAAAAAGTAAATGGATTATAAGTAACACATAATATATGCTAATTTCTGCAAGGGAAAAAAAGGGCTGTGTAAAATTTGCACCTGTTAATTACATTTTTGAAAACTTATTGAAAATTGAGACTTTAATTCCAGAGGAGAGTCAAGCTCATGAAAAATATAAAACAGCATGCAGGTATAATAGCATCTATTGAAATGACAAATTACAGACCAGTAAAGGAAGGAAAAAGAGTAATAAAGAAATCTACATGTTGTCAATGTAATTTGTTTATGACAACATCATTATTTATATAAAGAAAGAGTCAAAACAATTAAGATGTTTCCACAGCAATTTCCAAAATGGATTCCATGCTGAGCTTTTGTCTTTTTTTTTTTTTTTTAACAAATTGAAATAAACATTACTAAATTTAAACAACAAGAAACTACACAGGAGAGTAAGCAGGGCATTGTGTTTAAGATTTTCATTATCTTTTGGAGAGACTTCAATAACATGTTTTGATACCCTGAAGTATGTTACAGTGCACTAGATACAGAATAATAAAGTGCTGTTTAAAAGACCTGTGCATAGATTTAAATTGATTGCCTTTGTGAGCATGTACAACATTGGTGACTAAAACATAAACTTACAGTGAGGAGCTTACCTGTGGAGCTGAAAGCCAACCATATCTTTCTTCTAGTTTATTCATCTCCTTGTCAAAGTTATTTAGAAACTTATAGCGAAGAAGGTCATCATCAGTTAAGTGAAACTGCCTTCTGGCATAATGGTAACTCTCGTTATTTCCTTTCCTTGGGAAGTCTAACCATTCAGGATGCCCAAATTCGTTACCTGTATTAAGAAATAAATAGAAAGTTTGCCTACTAATGTTAGCATTTCTCACTAAGAACAGTAAATAATTATATTATTTTAAAGTCCTTATAATCATTTTAGGTTATGATTTAATATCGCTGTGCCCTGGGAATGATGTACAACCCTAGTTTAGAAACAGCATAGTCTAGCACAAGCAGCACCAACCACATTTGGACTCAGAAGCTCAGGGTGTAGTTTTAGCCAGGCCACGTGTTCCCATTTTTGAGAACCAGTATCTCTGTCATACTTATTTAACCTCTGAAATAATCGCTGAGTAATTTCTAAAATCTCTATTTCATTAATCTTTGAAATCTGTAGACTGCTTTGTAATGTCCAATGCCTTCGTATGTACATTATTTTTTGATCCTCAAAGAAACTCTATTATATCCCTTTCACAGATGAGAAATCCAAAGCATTGAGCAGTTAAGGGATTTGCTCAACCTCATAGAGATAGTAAGTGGAAAAGCAACCACTGAAATTTAGTTCTTCTGATTAAAATCCAAAGTTCTTTCTACCTCATCACACTGAGCAAGTAGGCTGTAACCTTCAGGTGCTAAAGAAACCCAAGTCATCACTTTTATTATTCATTTTCTTTCTCAGATGTCTGTGTTACCATTGCATGTATATTTTTAATTTTGTGTGTGTGCGCGTTCGCATGTGTGTGTGTGTGTAAAAGGGACTTTTGTTTGAGAATGCATTTAAATATTCTTTCTTATTATAATAATGAAAAATATAAACCCAACATACTTGAAAAAATGATAATCAAATTTAAATGTCAGTTGTTAAATAGTTTGGATCCTTTTGTTTTCCCCAAGTTAGATGTTTTCTTTATGGCTTTTTTTCTTCCCCTAAAAATTCAACACTACTTTATAAAATTTATTCTCAGTTACCCATTTAACACTACAATTTTCTAAGACAAATTTTTCCTTTGAGTTAGAAAGTACCATAGTCAATACAAGTGTGTTCTGCTTTAAAGAAACAAGTATATAACTAATCCAATAAATAGAAACTTATAAACTGGCATGTAATCTGAAACAATTATTGTAGCATTTCTTTAAATAGTATACTCTGCTAAGAAACACTGCAATTTACATTTCACTTTTCAGGACCATATTCATCAAACTAAAAACCACATCCAAACCTATATGTTTATAGCAGTTTCATAAAAATTAAAGTGTCTACAAATATTTTGCTAAATTTATATATTTCAGTTTAAATAATACTTCTTATGATGTTGCTCACTATGTGAGGGAACCAGGTTTCTGACTCTAAGGGTCTCTATTTATTTTAGGATGCCTTAAAGTGACACAAGGACTATCCCTCTGCTACATGTAGGAATCCTACCTGGGTTTGGAGAATGATTCACTCAGCCCAAAGTGTACCTGTAGTATAACTTGCTCCATCATCTACTCAAGTTGCAAAATAAAAGTACCTCCACAACTGCAGTGGAGCACATTCCCTACTGGTAACGGAGCTACTGCCAGTCCAGGGAATATGTTATGTCCAAATGGTAGTGGGATTTCCACTAGTGGAGAAAGTTAGAGAGACCTGAAATTCTATGAGGTAGGTAAGGTATAGTAGCCTGCAAACTGGAACCGGGCTTTCAGTAGGCAAAATACTTTTATTTTGCTATGGCCATATATCTCGGAGGTGGCTCCAATATTAATAAGCAATTCCTTTGGCCTTTTCTGTGGGAGACTGAATTATTAAGTAGTGGGGCTTATGACCCCAGACAGTCTGGTTTTAGCAAACTGACTTTTAATTACTCCTCCATATTGCTCAGAAGTAAATACCATAGAAATACAGCACACGGAATGACCAGCCTCTTATACATAGACAGAAATTCCTAGCTAATGGAATAACAAGTGTGGCTGCAATGGAGTGTGAAGGTGAGATAAAGTGAGGGGTTTGGTTTAGCCATAAAATAGGGTTTGTGGTGAGGAGAGGTGGTTCAGATCGGATGAGGTCAGATGAGAATAAGTCTCATGAAATTTGGACTTTACATTGCAGGCAATAGGGAACCACAAGCTTTCTTTAAGTAGGGAAATGAAAAGTTCACATATGTTTATTAATAAAATATCTCTGGTGTAGTGTGGAAAAGATGCTCGATGTTCGGCATAGTTGAACGGTAAGAAGTCTAATACGGAATCCAAAGTATAAGGTAAGAGATGACAACATGCAATGAGAAAGGAGAAAAGAATGATTGATTCAGATGACATTTCTGAGTTGGAAATAGCAGGATTTTATGATTGTCTGCTGAAGGGAGGTTGTAAGGGAAGCATGAATACAATTTTGACGTTTCGAGCTCAGAAGACTGAGCGGTGACAGCACTGACTGTAATGGGGGGAGATGATGACAGAGGCAGCGTGCGGGGAGAAGATAATGAGTTCGTTTTTTGGCATACTGAATTTAAGACCTGAAGGGTAGACAGGCCTCCACGGGTTTAAAGTAACGCTGATAAAAATAAGGTACTAAAATTCAGGAAAGACTTAGGGATGAGGGGCAAGAGTGATTTGTAAGAACTCAATCAACAGTAGTCACAGCCATAGGAGGGAAAAGGGCCGTGGGCAGCAACGCAAGGAACTGCAGGCAGGAAGAAGGCAGATTGGAGCGGACAGAGGAACAATGGTAGCCGAGTAAAGGGAACATCAGAAGAAAACACAAATGGCTAAGAAGAGTTTCAAGGAAGGCGCTCGGAGTCAAATGCTACCAGCCTTCCTGTAAAAAAAAAAAAAAAAAAAAAAAAAAAAAAAGGAAGATTTTGTGATACCACTAGCTCTCGGGTGTAGGGATAAGGTAGCGTAGAGCTGTGCTTTTCAATGAATTGGTACGCTCCAGAGGAAACATGCAGATTCCTAGAGAGCTTGTTAAAAGAATTGGTGCTCCAGTGATTCTGATTCACTACTTTTGGGGTGAGTCTTTGGCAGGAATTTATATTTTTATCAGCTTCCCTGTGCTATTCTGCAAGTAGAAGGGCTAAAGGCTACACCCTGATGAATAACCCCATAGAAATCTGTGTCTAAATAAGGACAGTTAGACAACATGATGTCTATGAACACAGATTTTCAAGTCAGAGAGACATGGGTTTTATTTCTAGCAAGGCCTCTTATGAGTGACATGAATTTAGGCAATTTTATCTCTCCAGTTCTCAGTTTCCTCCTCTGTAAAAGTGGATAATAAGTTTTGTAAAAGCTCTTTTAAGATTCAAGTGAGGTAAGTGAGGCACTTTGATCAGGTTCTGGCAGATACAAGCTTTCAAGGTATGGCAGCTTTTATGCTACGCACCGCTCATTACTGATGTGGTTCAGGAAAGAATGACATAAAGGGCAATAGATAAGAGTCATAAAAATGGTAAAATTTCTGGCTCCCATCATTCAGAGGAGGAAACTGACCAACTCTACTCTTCAGCAGACATACAGGTAACTAGGATAAATTCAAAAACAGCAATTTGGCTACTCTTCACTTAGTTTTCATGATATATTATTCCATTCTTTAAACTGAAAAAATTCTCACTGATGCATTTATTTACATATTTAATAATACAAACATATTTCCCTAAGCCAAGTACTTGGTTTTAGAAGAAAGGGAGATAGGCAGGGAGAGAAAAGGAGAGACGAAGAGAGAAAGAGAGAAACATTGATTTGTTGTTCCACTTATTTGTACATTTACTAGTTGATTCTTGGATGTGCCCTAACCGGGGAATGAACCCACAACCTTGGCATATTGGGACTATGCTCTAACCAGAGGTACCCAGCCAGGGCCTCCCTAAGCCATGTATTAATGTGCTTTGAATTATCTATTATTTTATATCTTAAAAGACAGAATTAAAAGTGAAAATAATTTTGCTACAAGACACAGAGATTGATAATATAAATCATATTGCTACATTAGGAATCCCCTCTCCACTTTCTTCCTTCATTATCCGCACATGTTCATCCTACCAAACCACTGAACAAGCTCTCAGGGTTTATATACACTATTATATAGTATATACATACACTATTATATGTACACACACACACTATATGAGTGTATACATATACTATTATATATACACAGTATTGTATGCCCTATGTAATAGTATATATGTAGTAAGTACATATGCAATATATAGTATATACATATATTAGATTATAAGAGTGAATATTGTATAGTATTCATTTGATTACATTACAGTTAAAAGAAATAGTATAGGCACTTTGTAACAGTGGAGCTCTGTGCTGGCTAGAACATAACTACTGACACTTGAAGACATCCTTTACTCCTAATTCTTCCAATCTTCTTAAAAATGTGACCCCAGGTCATAATTTTTGTTGTTTGTTATCTCTTCCAACTGCTTCGGATAGACTAATGGGGTGAAAATATAAATTTTTCTACACTGTAGAGTTTAGCTTCTCTCTTAGCACAGTTTTGTTTGGTTTTTTTCATCAGTACAGAACTGAATGGTGAGTTTGAACAAAATTTTTTGGGGAAATAATAACCCATCTCATAATCTGATTAAGAGGCAAGTCCCTGCTACCCAGACACACACACACACACACACACACACACACACACACACACACACACTGGATACAGCCTCAAGGTTTCTAGACTCCATCCAAAATCTGATCCAACGTGAAGTTACACTATCATTTATTTCTAACATTCTCACAGGACAAATCGTATCTTTATAATCTACAGCATAAGTAATAATTTGTAAATAGAAAATTATAATTACATGAGATAAGGCATGCAAATCATTAGAAGATCACAACACACAATATATGACTCAAATATTAGCTAAAATAGTTAATATTATTGTGTCATGTTTTTATTATATAAGTAATATACTAATACATTATTTAAAATAATGTAGAAGAGCTTACAACACACCATGTTGCTCACTACATACATGCTAGTACTAGCTATTATTATATTGTTATGTTTATCTTTTATTTATTATTTTTTATTGTACATGTAATGTACTTATAGATACA